AAGTTGATCAATTTTGTTGAGAGACAAGCTGATCAAATCCTTCAAATTAGGAAGGTATGCAGGAAAAGGGGGCTTTTTAAGGGTTCACAAGACAAGAGAGCAAGCAGGAAAGCGGGGAGAAAAAGCACAGGAAGACACGTCTGTCCACCAAAGCACAGAGAAAAAAAATTAGCTCTATGTTGGCCCACAATCTTCTAAAAGAACCATCATGTTTGCATGCCATGTAAGCTGGGCAGGAAGCGAGGGAGAGCCCCTAGCCATTCCAATTCCTGGATAGTTTATTACTGGTGGCATAAACTAGCCCTGGACACACGGACTTTCACCTCAATGGAGCTGGCGCTTGTGTATGAGGTTGAGCAATACCAACTAAATATAATTGGTCTCACCTCTATGCACAGTTTGGGCTCTGAAACTCAACTCCTGATTTAAAGGTTCTGACTTGTTTGTGCCTATGCACTAAACAGCAGCTCAGAGAATCAGATCTTTCTGGTCCCTGGTTGGTCTCCTGGAAGGGGTGTCATCTGGGCATTCCATTTTTTTTAACTGGATGAATTCATTGCTCATGTGGGCAATGACCAAGTTACCTGGAAGTGGGTGATTGGGAGGATAACTGCCCTGATCTGAATGGTGTTTTTTTTTTTTTCCTTCTGTGCTAGGCATGGACTGTCTATAATGAACACCATGTCTGAGCGTAGGGTGGTCCTGACATATACTTGTTACCAGGCCACCTAATGCCAAAGGTCGTTTTATTTTCTAATCAGGTCATGAGCTATGAAGGCCTATGTCTTGGATACTCGGGTGAAGAGAATGGTAAAGCTGTAATCTCATCACCACCAGGTGGTGAGTTGGGTCAAGTTTCATTGGAGGCTGACAGACAGACCTGGTAAACCCAAATGCATTATCGGGGTGAACTAGGAACTTCTGGTGGAAACTTGTGTCCCCCTCTTCTTTGTATTGAAAAGAGTCAGTTAAGGCGGTTTGGGCATCTGATTTGGTGCCTCTCTTTGGAGGTTATCTGGGCACACCCCACTAGGAAGAGACCATGGCACAGACCCTGAACTCACTGGAGGGATTGTGTACTTTCTCTGGCCTAGGAACACCTTAGGGTCCCCCAGAAGGAGCTGGAAAGTATTGCTGGAAAGAGGGATGTCAGAGTTTCTCTCCTAGACTTTTTGCCTCGGCAATCCAACTGTAGATAAGTGGTAGAAGATAGAAATGGAGATAGGAATTCTCAGCTGGATTGAGGTCTGGATTTTGACTGGTCTATTTCAGGACTTTTAACTGGTTCTCCCTAAATCTCCTGATGGTTGTTTAAGCATGTCATTGTTCTGCAAGAAGAAGGAACTCCATTCCAGTTCAAGTTGGCTGAAAAATTTAAACAGGTTTCCCTGATAATTTATTTTGTAGAATTTCTATTTTGGTCTATTCATTTTTACTTCAACTCTGACCAGTTTTTCAGATCCATCTAGTGGTAAACATCCCAACAGCATGATGCAAACAGTTTAATTTTAGTTTCTGCTGACCACAAGACCTTCTTTCATGCGTTGGAGTTTTCTAGCCCTTTGATAAAATTTAGTCTGCTTCTTTTTAATCATTGCTGTTGTCCTACCATTCTTCTATGAAGCTCAGCTTTGTGCAGCTTCTAGTGGTTCTACGGACTGATCATCCCTTCTACCAGCTCCATCAGGGTTATCTTTGATGTTCTGGATGTTCGAATATTTCTCGATTAATGCTCTCAATTCAATTCAGTTTATTTAAATGGCTCCAAGTCACAACAGAAGTCATCTCAGGACACTGAACAAAAACATTCACATACATTATAAGTTCCAATTAGTAAAATGATCTATCTAAGGAAGCAGCATATGCGTTGTCTTAATTTTGTAGCAGTCTCCCATCCTGAGCAAGCACAAAGGCAACAGTGGAGAAGAAAAACTCCCTCATAATAGGAAGAAACTTCTACCAGAACCAGGCTCAGGACGAGCGGCCATCTGCTTCGACCAACTGGGTTAGAGAGGACAGGAAGGAGAAGCTGACACAGAATGACAGGTGCAGGGAGCAGGTGATCAAGTCCTCGCTAAGAGGAAAGGTATAAAAAAATGCATGTTAAAATAGAAACAATTACAAATACAAATTATTCATTTGTATTCATTGGTAACTATTCATTTAATGAAATGAGGTCAATTGTCCTCCAGCAGGCTAAGCCTGTAGCAGCAGAACTAAGGGATAGGTCAGGAAACCCAAGCCAACCCTAATTATAGGTTTGATCAGAAAGGAAAGTCTTAAGCCTAATCTTAAAACTGGATAATGTGTCAGCCTCACAGACAGAAACTGGAAGTTGATTCCACAAGAGAGGAGCCTGATAGCTGAAAGAACTGCCTCCCATTCTGCTTTTGTGAACTCTAGGACAGTGGTCCTCAACCCCCAGGCCACGGACCGGTACCAGGCCACACAGAAGGGGGAAAAAAGTTTTATTTTGAAAAATCACCGGATTCTCTCTATCACATCAGTTTGACTCACTCTTGATGCAGGTCACCATACACAAGTGGTTAGTTTCAGTCTGTGCCAGGCATGTGCGCTGATTAGTTCTACATTGCTGGTGAAGAACAAAGCAATTCAGCTACGTGGTCTGGAGCAGACAGGTGGAGGTGTGCAGCGGTATCTGTGCATTTTGAAGGATTGCACTGCATATTTTTCAACCCGCCTGACAAAGATTGACTATAAAACTATAACTAAAGAAAACTATAATTTTAACAAGCTTCCTAATATCACATCAGAGCTATCACATTTTTGCTTCTGCTCAAAAAAAAATCTCTGCCCCTAAAAGTTCAAAGTCATGGGTAATTTTATTATAAAACACAAAAAAATAATTCTACGTTTTGCACTAGGCATACGTTCCTGTGCTTTTGTGAACAATGTGATGTGTGAATCACTGCAGGAGTTATCTGAACTTTCACCGAACTGATGAAACAGACGATGATCTCAGCTCATGAAGCTGTTTGTTGTGCAGTCAGAGTATTTGAAGCGAAACATGTTTTAAATGTTTGTAAAATACACCTGAATGCAGGAAATGGCATCTACTTTATTCAAAATTCTGTTGGGGAAGACCCCAGACCACCCCCCACCCCCCAGTCTTTGAAAATATTGTCTGACATCAAACCGGTCCGTGCCGCAATAAAGGTTGGGGACCACTGCTCTAGGAACCACAAGTAAACCTGCAGTGTGAGAGTGAAGTGCTCTGTTAGGAAAATATGGAACAAATATGGAATATTAAATCAATATGGAAGTATGGATCTGCCATATCTGTAACATTGGAGCCAAGTTGTTAAGTTGAGCTCTCCTGACTGGTCCATGAGTCAACACGGATGACCTTCTCTTGGCAGGTTTACTGCTGTGGCATTATCCTAACATTTCTTAATAGTGGATTTGGAGATCCATGGGATATTCAGGGCTCTGGGATTTTTTCTTCTTCTTTTGGCTGCTCCCTTTTTCAGTTGCCCCAGAGAACTAACTCACACTAAGACTAGGCGATTGTTTTTATGCCAGAAGCCCTTCCCGATGCAACCACAGACCACCGAGCTACTACAGCCCTCTATGTGGAGCAGCGAGCTATCATTTATGGCGCCTGGGGGAGCAGATGGTGGGGGTTAAAGACCTTGCCCAAGGGCCCAGAGTAGGACAAATGAGGGTGGAGGCAGGTGTGGGTGTTTCACCTATCCCACACACATTTTGATGTTGTCAGTCTGGGGAATTGAACCGGTGACCTACCAATCACAGACCCACCTTCTCTAACTTCTACACCACCACTCCCCCGGATGTTCAGGGCTCTGTAATATATTTTTTAAACTACCTTGACCTGTACCTTTTCACAACTTTGTTTCTGATTGTGGAGATTTCTGTGGTCTTCCTGATGTTTCTTGTTTGGCACTAAAGGCTCCTCCAGTATACTGCCGCGTACGTATGCGTGAACGTACGTACGCGTGTACTGTACGCAGAGGGTTCAGACTTGATACTCCAGCGTACACCCCGATCAGCTGCAGAGCAGCTTCACAGACAAGGGGCGTTCACCTTCGGGACAAATTGAGATCGCCGATTGGTCATTTGCTGACACGCCTACTGGATTGATTGACAGGTCGGAAAAAAGAAAAAAGTGATCGCTGGCAGCCTCAGCCGCAGCAGTGTTCTGTGTTTTTATGTTGCTAATAAAAAGATCTAAAAAAAAAAAAAACCAGAGCGCTGGCTCTACAGCCCACACATCAGACCAGCCCACCAGGAAATGTCCAGACCCTCCCGCAGCCACGCTGGACCTGAGTTTAATTCGCTCGTGACAAATTCCTTAATTTCTCACCATTTCAGTCATGGCATCAATGGAGGAGGAAGAGATCACTGCCTCTTGGCAAAAAAACAAAAGAAAAGGCCAGATCAGGGATGAAGAAGGGGAATTTAATACATTGGTGTCGCATACAAAACGGTCCGTTGCTGGGCAGTTTATTGTGCGACACCGCGTACGCTGTCGTAAAAATTTGAGCTTTGCATGGAGGGTACACTGGGGGGTACGCACGTACCTCTGCGTACATACATGCGTACCTCTGCGTATGGATGTACGCGGCAGTATACTGGGGGCTTAACCCTTCCTACTTAGTTGTTTAATAGGTTTTGGTTTTGGGGGCTATCAAAACAAGATTCATTTTAATTAATTATGGCACATTAAAGTAAAAGGGGTAATTGCATACACATGCATACACTATTCATTTTTCTAGAACTGTGTTTTAGTTTTAGTTTTCATTTAACTTTTTTAATGTGGAGTATTTGTATGTTCATTGCTACTTATGTTCCAAATGAAACTGTATTTAATTTCCAGGGTGTAAGGCAAAGCAATATTAAGAATATTAGGAGCATGCATACTTTTTCAGTCAACTGTTAAGTCACATTCTGACAGTCGGTTAGGAAAGGCTTTCTGCAGTCAATAAAGTCATAAATGTTTAATCTGTTAAACTTTTCAGTGTCATTCAGGAATCATGGGAGGCGGCCACTACGTGACGTATGCAAAAAACCCCAATGACAAATGGTATTGTTACAATGACAGCAGTTGTAAGGTGAGAATGCAGGACACTTTGGATTTATTCACACACCCTTCATTACTGTTATTCTGGTGACACAGAAAGTTCTGAAACTTGCTTTTTTTTTGTCATTTTAATAACGAACGGTGAACAGACATTTTTAGTGAAGTGCAGGGAGCAGCTGCTTGGTGTATTTTCCACACTGTACATGTGTGCAATAAATACCGTAATTGCCGGTCTATAGAGCACACCCAAATATAAGCCGCACACTAAATTAAATAAAGCAAAACAATTTTGTACATACATAAGCTGTGGGTGTTCCCATTGTAACTTGAGCGGCAGCATACAGCTGCTGAGTGATGTACAGCTCTTGTTGTAGATCAAGAATCAACCACCATATGGTATTTTACATACTTTTTTTGCTTTTCAACACAAGACAAAGTGAATCCCACAGGTCTTCATGACAACTACCTTTTTCACTCATGGTTATTCTACTGAATGACTTTACACAAACTAACACATAATGAACACATAAACTAGACTGACAAGAACAGACTAATCACTAAAAGAACAATGTAAACAGCTAATCAAAATGAGCCTTGAAGACTCTTACAAGTGAGACCTGTTTAGACAGACAAAAAAGTTGTGAAATTAACAACATGCAGGATTTGGAGGCAAAAGAAAAATCCTAACATGCTCTCTCTCAATGGCCAATGGGAGATAGCATGACAGTGAAAAAACACCCCGCCCACATAAGCACATGTTGACGTAGACATTCCGCATGGGAGGGGGAGACGACAAGGCAGGTGAATGTGTCCAAGGACGCTCCTGGAGGCACTGTAGGGGTTCTGCTAAGAATGGAATAGTCAGCCAGTTCCCTCTGGTGAGATCCGTAAACATTCTCAGGGGACGCTGAGGTTGGTCAAGGACAGCGCCAGTGAGAATCCGGGTCCTGAAATGATGACACGTTTGTTTAGCTGGTTCCCCCTGATTGGTCCATGGACTTCCTCGGTGGGAGGGGAGGGGCAGTGCGTCAGATTACAGAGCTTCCAGGGAAATTGAGATAAGGTGGCCTGTCAAGGCCAGCTGAGGGAGCCAAATTCAGATAAACATTTGTTTTTGAGACAGGCAGAACTTTGCTGAACTTTATTTGCCTAGAGTTTTTGCTGGTCTCGGAGAGTGGTGACACAAAGGTTAGAGAAGGTGGGCCTATGATCGGAAGATTGCCGGTTCAAGCCCCAGTACCGACAACATCAAAAATGTGGGTGGGGGTAGGTGAAGCCCCCACACCTGCCCCCACCCTCATTCGTCCCACTCTAGGCCCATGAGCAAGGCCCTTAACCCCCACCATCTGCTCCTCCAGATGTCCTAGATAGCAGCTCTCTGCTCCACACAGAGGGCTGTGGTAGCTCGGTGGTCTGTGGTTGCGTCAGGAAGGGCTTCTGGTGTAAAAATAACTGCCAAGTCTTCATGAGACTTATTTCGCTGTGGCGACCCTTCACACAGGGAGCAGCCGAAAAAAAAAAAAAAAGTATTTGCTGGTCTCACATAGATTCCGAAAGGTCCAAATTAAGTGGACACTCCACTGGTCCATGCCTGAGAATATTCTCCGAGATCTGATCCATCCTGCCAGTGAGTCCTAGGGGCCACAAATGGCCTGTGATTCTCAAAAATGGCATCCAATTTGCAATCCAGTCCACTAAGCAATTGAGTCTGGGTGCTCGAGACATGGAGCAAACCCTCACAAAAGGTGGGCAGCCTGACCAGAGCCAAATTAGCTGAAGTCATCTTCTTTGGATATTGATGAACCAGGAACCAGCTGATTCCAAAAAGTAGGAAACCTGTTATCATAAATCCAATTATGCATTTTCTACATCCTCAATCGACAGCAGAGATAGACACATCACATGCCACTTCCCACAGAGACATATCCATCTGCCTGGGTGTCGTCAGGGCGGCTCAGTTTGCATGAAGCTTGTCTCATCGTTGAGAATTTTTTGTCAAATGCATTGAGAGACCAACTGACCAGATCCATAGCAAAATTACAGTTTGAAAGATATGTAGAGAGAGGCTCAGAAGCCATTTCACAGACAGGACAGAGCAAAGCAGCGGAGGGAGAGGAGGGAAATGTATCCGCCCTCAACAAGAGCAAGTGGTGAATGATATATTATATATGGTGTGACAATTAGCACCTCCAAATCTGAGGCCATTGTCCTCAACCGTAAAAGGGTGGATGGTTCTCTTCAGGTCGAGGGTGAGGTTCTGCCTCAAGTGGAGGAATTCAAGTATCTTTGGGTTTTATTCACAAGTGAGGGAAGAATGGAGCGTGAGATAGGCAGCCGGATTCGTGCAACGTCTTCAGTATTGCGGACTCTGTACCGGTTCGTTATGGTGAAGAGGGAGCTGAGCTGTAAGGTAAAGCCTTCTATTTATCAGTCAGTCTACGTTCCTACCCTCACCTATGGTCACGAGCTCTGAGTAGTGGCCGAAGGATAAGAATGCAGATACAGGTGGTTGAAATGAGTTTCCTCTGCAGTGTAGCTGGACTCTCCCTTAGAGATAGGGTGAGAGTTTAGTTATCCAAGAGAGACTCCGAGTAGAACTGCTGCTCCTCCACATTGAAAGCCAGTTGAGGTGGTTTGGGCATCTGGTAAGGATGCCCACTAGATGCCTCCCTAGGGAAGTGCTTCGGGCATGTCCGACTAGGTGGAGACCCTGGGGAAGACTCGGGACATGCTGGAGAGACTATGCCTCTTGGTTGGTCTGGGAATGCCTTGGGGTCCCCTAGAAGAGCTAGAAGAGGTGGCTGTGGAAAGAGATGTCTGGGCCTCCCTGCTCACACTGCTGCCCCGACTTTGGAACAAGCAGAAGCCGTCCGTCCGGACGGAGCAGACCGAGAACATCCAAGGTTCTCCTGTGGAGCCAAGTGGGTCTGCTGTTTTGCCCGTTCAGGTAGACGGAGGATCTTGTTTTCAGCGTTAGCCGATTTAGTTAGCAGGTCTTGTCAGCAACCCGATGATAACAATGATCACAGCAGCTGCCCTCCCAGACTGCCTTCCAGAACTGGATCTGGCAGACCGAGAACATTCAGGTTTCCCCGCAGAACCGAACAGGTTCATAGAGTTCGGTCCATGCAGGCAAAAGGAGGATCATGGAGACATCTGCCATGACAGGCCTGAGCCAGAGGCTGGAAGTTCTGAACCATGATGGCACTATGGCATGATGGCAAGGCAGTGAGTTGGGGGAGTGGTGGCGCAGAGGTTAGAGAAGGTGGGCCTGTGATCGGAAGATCGCCGATTCAAGCCCTGGTACCAATAACATCAAAAATGTGGGTGGGGTAGGTGAAGCATCCACACCTGCCCCCACCCTCATTCGCCCCACTCTGGGCCCATGAGCAAGGCCCTTTACCCCCCACCATCTGCTCCCTAAACAGGTCTCTCTTGAAAATGAGTTCTCATGGCTCAATGAGACTACCTGTATAAATAAAGGGTAAATGAAAAAAAAAAGACACAGAAAACACTACAAGTGTGTCACGGTCACACCCGTACCATGGATGTGCATTGTAGTCACAAAAGTTAAAACAAAAACAACAAGAACAAAAAAACATTGAGTTCACTGGGAGCCTATGAAGCTGCAGCGCGGACTCTTGGCTGATATATATATATATGTATATATATGTATATGTATATATGTATATGTATGTATATGTATATATGTATATGTATATATGTATATGTATATATGTATATGTATATGTATAT